TAGGTGTTGATGGGGAGGAACGCAAAATGAACCTCCAAACAAAACAACCAGGATAAAGGTGACTGATCTCAAAGCAGAGGGGTAGAGAATTCTTGAACCGGTACATTTATTAATAACAATTAAAGCAGATTTTGCTCTGTTTTGTTTCTGGGTTTCTGTTTGTATGGTTGTTTTTAGGTAGTTTTAATATCAGGTAAGGTCCTTTTTCACTACATTTTTTTCTTTTTCATTCTTTTTGTAAAAGCTTCAGCTTCTAAGCCCTATTATCTGTGAGTACCCTATTCCATTTTTTTGGAACAAGAGGGCAATTTTCTGTTTTCTAATATTTAAAATATTTTCTAAAAATTGATGAGAGCATCCTGAATCCACAATTCAGCTACAGTCAACAAATTGTTCTTTGTGTATACAGGATAATAGGTAATTCTACGCAATGATGACCTAAATTACGTTAAAGCATAATAAAAGCTCACCTTCGGTCCTACCATTCGATAATGCTATGTTTTGTTGATGGCATCAAATTTTGACAAAGCAAGCCATCAAGCTTCAACAAAATGATCTTTTTAGTATTCTGGATAGCTTTACTATTTTCTTGATTTCTGCTTTGTTAAAATATGCTTTTATTTTATGCATAGACATTCATACCTAAGTCAATCGATCATTATTTATACTGATCCATCCACATATATAACTCAAGCTCCCTTCAAAAACACTTAATATAGCAAAAGAAAAATGAGCTCAATGCAATAAATAACGTAAAATACCTATTATAAATACAAAGGCAAAGTGACTTATATGGATATATGTTCATAGAAAAAAGTGAAAATAAAGTATTTCATACAAAATAAACAACATGTTACCACCCAGGCAGAAGAAACTTTTAGGAAAAACTTTTAAGAAAAAGCTATGTAAAACTGTACAACTTCTAACTACGCTTCACTGGGAGCTACTTGAAATAATCCATCCAATGACTAATCAGAACTATCCATATCGCAAGAAGCTCTGCAGAGAAACACTACATCTGTCATAGAAAACTCTGCATATGCTGGAGACCAGAGGTCGGTTTTTATATTCAGGCTTCTACTGCGATACGTCTCCATAGATAGATCCAGACAGAAAAGGCTGTCTCCCCTGTGTCACATACAAGCCAGGTCCAGCACAGAAACATGAAAACGTTTGCTACAAACTATTGGAGAAGATAAGGCCAAAGAAGAGAGAACATTGAATAAAAATTGGGTATTTCAACACCAGAGGCCTTTTAAAACCCCGCAAAGCATTCTCCTCCTCAGTAAAGCCTTCCTACCAGGTATGGGATATCTCTTTCTCAGACGCATGCAATGAGGTCTCTAATCAAGTAAACTGGAGGCAGAAAAATGTTGATGAAACCTATTATGTATCTAGTTGTGCTGGTTTGTTTTCCCTGGAAATACTTAATGCTGCAGTAATGGATTCTATAGAGGTGAGGTAAAGAGATAATCAACCGACCTCTTTCAAAATCTTAATCAAACATGAGCAAATATGAGAAATATTTAGCAAATGCATAAACAGCTCCCTAACGTACTAAGACACACAGAAATGGTATTCAATATCTGGCACAGTTCTAACACAGTTAAAAGATAGCAATTTAAAGAGTGTGACTTTGAAAACAGTTCTCAAAAATAACAGCTATGTGACCTTAAAATACATTAATTCATTAGATAAAAGTTTGTTCTCCCCAACGGCAAACATTTTCAATTTCACCACCAAAATGTCATGACTCAAACAGCAGATGTTTCTCTGAGCTTTTCTCTTAATCTTTACAAAATCCTCTACTCTAGGTAAATAGCAAGAAACTGAAATAACTTGCAACCACCGTCGTAGCTTCAAAACAATGGTATTATGGCCCAGTCATCTGGTATCTGATATAAACCTAACTCTGTTATTTGTCATGAGCCACATGTGGCCTGCCATCCCATTAGACAGCCCTAGAAATTATTCGTAACATTAGACAACTTAGACTGATGCATGGTTTTCACAAGGATGTAAAGTATTACTGTGTACTTGATTTCACTGCAGCCATATTCCCTCCTCTGTGCCATAAGCACTTCCTGGCTTCAGACAAATTTTCCTGCTCAAACATTTCATTTCTATTTTTTTTTTCTTCATCTTCTTACATTATCTATTTGAAATTCTTGACTGTTTCCCCTCATTTGAAGAACTCAAATAAAGACTCCTGTGTAGGTTATATTGTTACTTAGGTTGTCTGCAGAACTAAGGACTGGAAACATCTTATTTTACACTACAGCCAATTTATTGAAAATAGTTGATCCAAGCCCATGCGTTGTCCCACATCATTTGGATTTAATCCAGGACCTTCCCAATAGCTAAAGCTAGGATCTTTGGCCCAGTCAGGCATACCTGTGCCTTTTGTTTCACATCTTGTGCTAATTTTGCTGACCAGTCATGGCTATAGTATTGCTATTCTCTTCTGCACTGCACCTGGAAGGGTGCTATTCCACTGCATTTGAGAGATCTACAAACACTTGGTTTATGTGATGGCCACAGGGCACGTGTCATGGGTCTCTGGTCTCTCTAGATGAAATTTGAGTATATACAGTTAATTTGTTCTCTGCTTGTTCTTCAGTTGTAATGAATGGCTCTTGGCGATTACTCATGTTAATACATTATAATAATTTTGTTTAGAGTATGTATTCCACTGCTTGTTTTATTTATTAAGAATTATTACTATTTCCATTATTATATGGAAAAGACAAATAAGTATCGTTTCAGAAGGGACTTTGGTAAACCAGTCATAGTGTATTTGGCAACATGGATCTGTGCGACTGCATCTTTCTTTGAACCCAGATATGTGCTATCGATAGCTACTGCTGACGGATTAGCATGCTTTAGATCTTTCCCTTTACGACTTCCTCTTTACGCAGTTTCACTGCTGATTGCTTCCTGTACTGTCTTTATTGAAAACTCACTGATAAAGTGTTTGTTCCAATGACAAATTTTGTAACTGAGAACCATTATGGCAATGTGTCCTCAGTCACCCATCTTTTCTCTGCTTAACCTATTCTGCTGGAATGATCTCCACTGTCCTGTTTCTGCTAGAGGCAGCTGTTCCTTTGGACAGTAGCAACAACCGTTATTCACAACAGTCTTTATTCATTCACGCTCCTTCTACGTTTCTGGCTTGCTGATGAAGTGGGAGGGTAATGTGGCAAGACACTTCTGTCACTTCAGAAACCTCCTTTTACCACATAAACAGCTTCAAAAGGACATCCTTCTTATTGGCAATTCTTATGGAAGTGACCTTCAGTATATTGTCATTGCAGGTTTACATCTATATGACAACACTTGGTATCATTCACAGTGCACAGAAGATTTTGTGTTTTAATCAAAGTTATTATTTCCTAATTCTGCAGACCATATGGCACCATAAAGCCCACAGCAGAGCAGATATTTTTAAAGCATGACATTAACTTTACTAGGGACATTAACAAAGATGAGTAATGTTATCTTCACTGAAGTATAAATTATGCCAACATTTTCAAATTTGGATGATTAAGGTTGTACCTAAAACGACTACCTATTTTTTTGCAGTTCTGAAACTTAACAGGAGTCCACCTATGCCCGTATCTGAAAGTATTCATACATATTTCCAGAATGACAATCTAGGCAAAACTGATGAAGATAGCATTATTCTGATTTATTATTTTTCTGAAGTTTATGATGGGTAAGTCTGCCCCTGTTCTTAAGGTACATCTCGGGAAAACAAAAAATTAATTTCTCAGTAATCACTGCATGTAATTTTAGTTGTACTTTAGATTACTAATCAGAGGTACAGTACAGACCAATCTTATGAACTGCAATTTAATTTAAAATATTTTTAAAATTCTGCTCAGTTTTGCAAATGCATCACCTTTCTGCTACAACCCACACAACCCATAACACTGCCTGGTATATAACCTACGTATTTGTTACCATCAATCCTGTCACCATGCTCTCATTATTAATAAAATAATGTGCTTAATTATTAAAACATACCAAGCATGTTCCAATTACTTTTTGCTTCCTGCCTCCACTTGCTTAATGCAACAAATTCTAATCAGAAACATTTTTTACATTCCCACCATCTTGATGAATGATATAAGCAATGGGGTATATTCTCTAGACATTCAACTTACAGCCTCTCTGCATGAACAAGTCAGATGTGCAAAGAGGCTTCGGGATCATGCCTGCGGGCATTAATGAGCTTATTAGAACACTGTAACAAGGATTACCTGAATTTCTTATTCAGAGAGTTGAAGCTTTTGTAAGTCTTTCTCTTGCCTTCAACTACCAACACAGGTCAGTTTAAAATCACTGCTGTTCTAAAACCACAATTTTTTTCTTCTCATATTGAGATTGCTCATGATGATCATGGATGATTTATGTTCATAAAAAATGGCAAAACTTTTGGTAGAAAACAATATATGAAACTTAGGATTTCTGGTTTTATTATTATGAATTCAATGCAGCACAACCGACCTTGGCAGTAATTTTCATACTGAAACGAAAACACCACTTTTCATTGAATCCATCACATCCACTTTTGGATGTTAACCTTTTGCTTTTGCCCACAGTTTTCATTGATCTTGCACTTGAAAACTTCTCTTCACCTTCAACTTTCCTTCTCTCATAGTAGCAGCCATAAAGATGGTTGTACTGAAAATTACTTGAGTGCATATTTAGATGAAGATGTGATTCTTTCAATAATTGTACAATTAAAGACATGACTCCTTCAACAATTGTACAATGTTATTGGGATTAGACTGGAAAAACGTGTTTACATGTTTTTAATAAAAATAAATAAATAAATAGATCCCCTAAAAGCTATAACAAGACCATACTAGCATCATGCAGAAATATATAACAAAACTTATCATAAGGCTTTTACTTTTTTTTTTTTTTCCCACTTCAGTCTATCTGGAGTAAATACATTATTAAACCATAGCATTTTTAATGACTGTGCTTACCAGTTGCTGTCCTTGGACGCCCCAGGCTGCATACTGTAAAACTGAATCCTCTACTTCTGGAGGGTTTAACTCCCAAACTTCCCTTGAAAAAACGTAAACATTTTTCCTTGAACGCACTGTCATCACCTCATGTATAGAACCACTGACAATGACATCGTATTGAAAAAACAATGTGACCTACCTCGTGTGTATGTTATAAATCACGTATGAAGCGGTATAAGAATAATGAAAAACCTGTGACAAAAAAAGAAAGCATAAGAATTACAAAAACGAATACTGGATTAAATACAGACTACCATTATGATAGCCACCGTCTTTCAATCCCTGTAAACACTGATATCTTCACTACTGAAAGAAAGATTTTACTGTATTAGTTATAAACAATAGACTTGAACCAGGGTTTGAATGCTGTATGAAGGACACACATACTCATCTATACATTTAACCAGACACTTAACCCATACAACAACTGCACAGAAAAGGTCCCAATCAGAAAAATCTGCGTTCCTGTTAAACAAAAGGATTTAAAAAAATGAACACAAAAACCCAAACAAAAACCCCAATAACATACATTAGGAAAATAAATCTCTTTTTCCTGTATTTCTTCATCAAGTTATGGTCAAAATGATTGTACAGGCATCACAGTTATTTTCCTTGAAATGCAGACAGATACAGGGTCATATGATATTTTTCTGACCACCTGCTATGTCCAGCCCGAACGACATTCTGGGCTATTGCTCACAGAATAGAATAGAAAAACTCAGTGCTTACTGAGGCTGTATTTGGTGTGGCTTTCCTTAAATGTGTTTCAGTTTGATTTTGACCGACTTTCTTTGAAATTCAGGAAACGTTTGTTTTATCTGAGATTTTTCATATGCAACATTTTGGGTAAAACAAAAGAGCTATTTGTCAGTAAATTTTCCTAATTCATCAGGAAGTTACCAGTGACTTCTGGTCTCAGAAACCCCAGGATTCTCTGGATGGGAGAGAAAAGCAAATTTAATGGATAGTCTTATGCTGCTGTCTTATTTGTTGAAAATTTGGTTGAAGTCGACTGAAGTCAACAGAATTTAAGCGCAAAATATCAAGGCCTGACATATGCGGATCCAGATGATCCATGGTGGGGAACAGCATGGTACAGCGTATAATGTGAGGTACCGCCACACCGAAGGGCTAAAATCAAAGCAAACTGTTACACATTTTCTCTAAAGTCAAACATGAGTTTATATACATACACGTATAGTGGATAACAGACATTTTGCTGTCTTCCAGGCTCGGGTGATTGGTTTCAACCTAACTCATTTCTTTACCACTATGTCTCACATTATGAAAACAGCATAATTCCATAGTATTAGTTTCATTATGAACTGAAATTACTTCATGGTCTTGGAATATAAAATGTATTTGTGACTAATTATTACTGCAATAAGAGAAATTCTTCCTTTTAATGTAAACTACTGTCAGAAAGAAACATAGGGTGACATCCATTAGACTTACTGTAGCTTCACACCTACAGAGTTACAGTATCTCTGCTTGGCACATGAAGAACTTCTTTCTGGACAGTGTCAGGCTAGTTCCAGCTAGATGGAAACAGATACAGCTGTCAAGCTGAAACCTTGATACAGATATATGTGTTGGGAACTCTTTAGTTTGTATTATCTGCACCAGGAATCTTTCAGTATCTCCTCCAGAGAGAAGAGACAAAGGAGGATCACACATGAACAGAGCCATCGGAATTTGCTGCTGTTGCACAAAAGAGGCGTTTCAAAGGCTGTTATTTTGTCTGGAGGTCATTCAGTAACAGAACCATCTGAAACATCCTTCCACGGACTCCTTTTCCATTATTAGTTCCCTGTCAACACACACCAAGAATGTAGCATGTCCTAAATCCTTGCTGGCTGATGCTGCAAGAAGCCCACAAAGGTCTGCAAGATAAGTGACTGTACTTTGTGTAAGTCAAATTTTCCTTCAATGAAATTTCCTTTTTAGACAAGAATCACTTCCATTTTCCAAGTCTATGGTGATTAACATCGAAAGCGTTCCTTCAGTGAGAAGAATCACACATGTATTAGTAAGTATGCCCCAGACTGCTCGGGTTTTTTATATTACAGCTTATGATAAAGTGTTTGGCCATGCAACGTACCAGCCTCTTCTGAGAAGTGCCAAGTGTGACAGAAATAGAGACAAATTATAATAATATTATGACTGCTGTAGGAGGTACAAAGACACCAAGAAGAATATTCTAAGTAATTTGATTGACTTTCTCTAAATAGCTATCATAAACATATCTACTACCATGTCTCTATATTATATATACATATACATCTAATTATATACATAGTAGAGTAGACTACTTGCTTACATAGCATGATGTTTAAAGTTCAGTGGGGTTTCTGGGAGAAATTAACTTGGTAATAACACGAATGAGGGCCTATCAAGATAAGAGTTATTCAAGTACTGCTGGTAAGACAATGGGACAAACAGTTGGCTTCAAAGCTCCTGCTTTCTTTTATAAATCTTATATTGCTAGAGGTAAAAGACTGTAGATCAAAGGGACATAAACGGTTAAATCATGGTGGTTTCTGCACAGGGTGTGCATTGCCAGAGGCTACCCAGAGGGGCACTTGCCAGCAGCTATTGAAGGGGACAGTCTCATACAGCCAGTTAGAGGGAAGAGGAATGGATCTCTCGCCCTTCCAGGAAAAGGGAAAAGGATATCACAGATAATGTGTGGAGGGCTGGTAAGTGTTTAGAATAGAAATATTTAAAAAGTAAATTATTAGACAGAATATATTTCAACAAGAAATGCTAAACTAATAAGTCATTTTGACAGCTTTAACAGAAAATATGCTATAACAACAAGAAGAACGCTGCATAATTCATGTGGAAACTCTCCTCTTGCCTTGTGGTAAAATTTCTACCTAAAAGTTCATGTAGAACTATTAATATCTTTGTGTTAGAAGTATTAATACCTTTGAAAGAGCTCCACAACCAAAAGAGACCAACATTACAATGAAGTCACTTTCAGACAGGATGCCGACATTTCTCTCAAATTACTCACGTTAGTTTTATTTCTGAATAGGAACACCATGAATAAATTACAAGTAGGAAGTTTCCTAGTTCATCCTGCTTGCAACAGCCACATACTGAAACACCGTCATTATTGAAATTAAAACAAACAAAAAAAAGAGGACATAGAAAAATGTTTCTTTTTCAAGTCTGGCTTGTATAGTAAGTGTCACGTTCCTAGGAAGCTCTCACAGTTTGTACAAAGGCTTACCTGTGGAGATCCTTTTTAGGATCTCCACTATTTTGGTAAAGCTTTAGCTTGTACAGAGCCATGCCAGTGGCTGGGACCATGTCTCCTGACCCCTAACGTACCACATCGGGCATCACACAAGAGGAGCCCAGCTGAGGGCACCAAGCCTGACGCTAACTGTAGGGAGTCTCAGGGACTCGCAAAATACCGGGATCAAACCTTCCAGGCTGCCATCAGCCACATTCCCTCTGGAAGAGGCATACGTAGGACTGGGGGATTCTGCCTTGCAACTCTTGTTTTGTGGGATGTGCACTAATCAGAAAAAAATCTGGTAATTTATGACACAGTTTACAAAGATACAGACTGAGAGCTCAGGCTGCATTGTCCCCTCTCACGGTGTATTTACAGCGAAGGCTGGTTGTTGCCCTCACCATTCAGATCTGAAGTGCTATCATTTCTATTCCAAAATGTGTTCAAACATTTCTTGTACTCCATGCCTTCCCACTGGGGTGGCATCAAAAGACTAAACTAATGCTAATATTTAAACATGGACAGTAAATTACTCCAAATGACAAAAAAATTAAATACTTAAGTAGTGTGAATCTGAGGAAAAAGGAGAAAGGTTGTAGTGAAAAAAGACCCATCTTCTAAGTACAAAGAAGAGAATCAACTAATGAATATAGACGTACGGAAGGTCTCTAAGAAGTGAAGTAACGTAGGAGAGCAAAGCCTTTTAAAATATTAAATGCATTACAGTAATTTCTACACTGTCATATCAGAGGAGGAAAATGAAGAAAGGAAAATGGCCTTGTATAATTTAATAATATAACTACACGTGTTAAGGTAGGTGTCCTGGTTTCGGCTGGGATAGAGTTAATTTTCTTCCTAGTAGCTGGTATAGTGCTGTGTTTTGGATTTAGCATGAGAATAATGTTGATAACACACTGATGTTTTAGTTGTTGCTACGTAGTGCTTACACCAGGCAAGGACTTTTCAGCTTCCCATGCTCTGCCCGGTGCACGAGAAGCTGGGAGGGGCACAGCCAGGACAGCTGGCCCAGACTGGCCACAGGGCTATGCCGTACCGTATGGCGCGTCGTGCTCTATAGAAACTGGGGGAGTTGGCTGGGGGGCAGCGGTTGCTGCTTGGGGATGGGATGGGTGTCGGTTGGCTGGTGGTGAGTGGTTGCATCACTTGTTTTTCCTGGGTTTTGTTTTTTTTGTTGTTGTTGTTTCGTTTTCCTTTTCATTATTATTATTACTATCATTATCATTACTACTATTATTCTATGTTATTTCAATTATTAAACTCTTCTTATCTCAACCCATGAATTTTCTCACTTTTACCCTTCCGATTCTCTCCTCCAACCCACCAGGACAGGGAGTCAGCGAGCGGCTGTGTGGGGCTTGGCTGCTGGCTGGGGTTAAACCACGACAGTGGGACACTGTGAGGAGCCTTACCTCCATGAGTGGCATGTATGCTTGCTAGCTTCAGGCCTTTCTGACAAGTAAATAACTTGCCTGTTTCTGTTGTGATAAGCTGCAAAAATGTTCCCCACAATGTTCATTTAAGAACTGTGAAAATGGCTTTATGGCTTTTTAGATCAGAAAGACAGCATACCTCCCCCTCAATATACATTATTTAATTTTTCTTTTGCCATAGAATGTAGGAGGTAACTACTGTTGCATATCATATATTTCTTCTGAATTCAGTCTTTCATCAATTTATAAACTGAAGACAGGCTTTTATGTGATGCTGCTCAACACTGGAAAAGTTAGCTGCATTTGTGTATGAAAAAAATTACAGAACTATATTACAAAGGACCTAAAAGAAAAAGGTGAAAAAAGTATTTCAAGACAAATTGCTCCAGTCAAAACTTATTGAAATAACAATCTATTATTCAGCTAACAGCCAACAATAATAAACCCACACTTATCAATCACGATCTGAACTTTTAGATGACATATTGTTCTGG